TCCACAAGTGTTTTGTGCGCTACGAAGACGACTTTGGGTCTTTCTGGATGGTGGACGATGCGGAATTCGTGAAGCGCCGCCACCTATCTCGTGGTCGGCCGCGGAAATATGACCCAACCCCATCACCCACTCCACCCCACTGCGCACAGTAAGCACCTTTTCAAGACGTCGCTATTATGACGTCACCGTACCGTACCTGCCGTCGTGTGCTGCTGTCTGCTCGGCTCTCGGCTCTATAGGCTCTAGCTCAGGCTCGGCTTGGCTCGCGCTGCTTAGATGCTTACAATAACACACCACTGCTCCTTCTGTGTAAACAAATAAAAATGACTATATCATAGTTTTACATTGATTAAATTCTGTAAATCATTAATTTAGAAAATGTTTTATTATGATTAAATCATTTTCATGAACTTCAGCGACTAAGATACTTATTTGTAATCTAACTAATATCTAGTTTGTTAAATCTAACGTATGATACCTATATTAAATTATTCTTGTTAATAATTTTATACATTTCTGTCATTTATTGGTTTTTATTTTAATACATAAATCAGTAAAATTCCTCTTTTAGCCATTCAATTTGTTTTTCTTACTTACTGGTAAACCCTTGAATCGGTATAATTTGTTCTCTATAATACACGTTTATTATGTCATTAATAATAACTTTATTGTAGCATTACTGAGCTTACTTTATATACAAAAAGAAATACATTAAGGATGAATTTTTGACGATAGATAAGTGTTTATTATTAAAAACAAAGTTTACAATCCTAAATTACCTCCATTTTGCTAGAATTTTTGCATAAATGGTTGACTTTTCATATATTGGGCTGTATTTCGTAAAATAATAAAAAAAATAATTTTTTCTAGTAAGATAAAGATAAGTTCATATTAAAAAATTGTCTAAATTATTTTTTATATTTTAGTAGTTTCTGAGATATAACCCTTTTTTTAACTTCTACCTAGTTGCGGGTGCACATGAAGTAAGTAATATTCTTTTTCTACTCGGTTACTAGTAAATTGTATATTACCTACTATTTGGATGCTAAGTAAATGCATCATAACAGATACTGACACGTAATGACTAGCACGTAATAAAAAAAATTACGCTTCAGTTTTATAAAAATGTGTAATATCACATAAGCCTCGTAAGTCAGTTGGTCGAGTTACCATGGAAACGAATTAACAGACGTTATTTTGACAGATTAAAAATTATTAATCTGTCAGTGTAAATATAGTGGTAATTTAATTTTTATTTTTACAAACGAAAATAATGGTAGAAAAAAGTATAGTACACAACTTGAGTTGTAAGCTTATTACATGCTTGTAAAATTACTGCGCTCGCCGCTACGCGGCTCGCGCGCAACTATTTTACTCGCATGTAATAAGCTTCTTACAACTCTCGTTATGTAATATACTATTAATTATTATTGAATTATTAATTCAATAATACAAAAAAAACCTCAAATGTTATGTGAATTTATAATTAATAATATTGGCAAAATTGACAAAATAGGTGAATTATAAAAAATAGAGAAGTATATATATATATATATATACCGGGTGGTGAAACGCCAAACGGTCCATAGGAAATTCAATGGAAAATTCTAAATTGTTAAATTCCTGCTTCCCTAATTATTTTACATCAAAATTCATAGGAAACTATTTGTAAAGAACTAAAATATGTATTAAAAACAAATGTTAAAATTGTTCTACGAATTAAATGTATCTCAAAATTTTGTAAAAATATAATACATTTTTTAGGTCACCCTTAAAGTCGGGCCACACAAGGTACAAGAATGTGTATGACGTGTTGCGTTTGGTCATATTTATGTTTTTACTATTTGACATTATTTGAATTGTCAATATTTTTAATTTGTGATTAAATCATACACAAATACTAAAATGCATAAGTTTTCACAAATACTACTACATAGTGAACAGTAACTAGTAATTTGTAAACAATAAATTATACTGTTTACAAAGCAATAAAATTGATGAAATGTAATCAGTTCACGAAAAATCGCAATAAGGCAATAGTGCGAGCACTGCCAGATCTTTATTTAACACAAGATATCATAATACACTCCATTTCAATTCCAGGTTATACAACAATCAAATAATTTCTATATAGTTTTACTGTGATCCTTCCTAATAATAATTTATATAATTTATGATAATTTCAACATAAAACTATAACAAATGTTCAAACAATAAGCCATTTTGTACTAAGCAGTATCCCACTCGATTGTAAAATTCTCGTCTAACATTAGCCAGAATGCGTGACGTTATTTTTGCACACTTTTCAATAATTCGCCTTTTTAAAGTTTCAATATCTGTAATTTTTGGTCAGAATAGATTTTTGATTTTAAATGCCCCCAGATAAAATAATCGTTTGGAGCTAGATCTCCCGATCTCGGAGGCCACTTAATATTACAGTCAGGTCCAATCAAACAATTATTAAAGCTGTTTTTAAGGAATTCCTTAACCTCCCAGTTATTATGCACATGGCAGCCATCCATTTGAAACCAAATTTTTTCTTCATCTGGAACTAATTCTGCAAGTCTATGTAAAATTTCTTCTTGTAGCAAGTCTAAAAACTTTTTTGAATTTAAATTTTCCTCATAGAAAAATGGTCCAATAATATTGTGTCTAAATATTCCTAACCAGACATTTATTTTTCGACGATATTGGGTATGGCTTTCAATAATATTCTCAGGCTTTTTTGTCGATCAAATCCTATAATTTTGAACATTTGGTTCATTATTTAATGTAAATGTACAAGCCGTAGAGTTATGAATATTTAACTGATCTGCAATGGTCCGAGAACTTATTCTAGGATTTTCTACAACTGCTGTTAATACATTTATTTCATTTTGATTTTCTAAATTTTTTGGTACTTCAGCAATATTGTTTGTACAGGTACAATTAGAAATCGCGGTCCCAGTATTTTCAAACTTTTCTAAAATCCTTAGAATTGTTGAGTGACTTGGAATTGGTCTATTGGGATATCTTACGCTAAATAAAGAACTGACAATTCGCGCACTATTGCCAGAATAAAACATTTTTATTATTGCTACTTTCTCCTCGACTGAATATATTTTTTAATAAACTATGTTGTTTTTTAAACAATAAATCACTAAATTAAAATTTTGGCAATTCAAATAATGTCAAATATTAGAAACATAAATACGACCAAACGCAACATCTCATACACATTCTTGTACCTTGTGTGGTCTGACTTTAAGGGGTGGGCCTAAAAAATGTTTTATATTTTTACAAAATTTTGGGATACATTTAATTCGTAGAACGATTTTAACATTTGTTTTTAATACATATTTTAGTTCTTTACAAATAGTTTCCTATGAATTTTGTTGTAAAATAATTAGGGAAGCAGGAATTCAACAACTTAGAATTTCCCATTGAATTTCCTATGGACCGTTTGACGATTCACCACCCTGTATATATATATATATATATATATATATATATATATATATATATGGTTTCAGTTGTTTTCCGGGTTTGACACCACGTTAAATAGTTTTGGTTAGAAAAACCATTGTTTTGGCGACGTTTCGGCAAGGTCACACTTGCCATTGTCAAGTCAGATTAGTTCTGCTTCTTCTTGATGTTCTTCAAATGATTGTATAGTAAAGCATTTTTTCTTACAACTGTCAATATATCAATATAATCATATACTTTTTCCATACTCCCAGACCAACTGTTCCTGTTTTATCCAATGCCCAGATTTATTTATTATGTAATTATAACAAGATTTATAGTTTTTTTGTTATCAAATATAAGAAATGCTCAACAAAATTTGTTTGCACATCTCAACATAAACTTCTTTTAGTGTGGCTTCCAAATTTGTTTGGAACGTAGGTTTCGAAACCATGTCAAGTACATCACCTTCTCCCTCTTTAGTATTTTACCTTTAGTACAGATCAAACATTTGAATTTGTAATCAAAAAAAGTCTCAGATGATCCTCGAAGCTTTTTCTTCACTGGACTATATTTCCATGCATTGGTAATTTGCAGGATTAAAATTATAATATAATAATGTGGCTGCTCTGTTTAATAGATATTTTTGTCTGCATTCTTTGTGTACTTTAATCTCATTATAATCGGAAACAACTTGTAACAAACAGTGTATATCCTTTCTTTCTAAAATTTTTTTATTGTATTAGTGCAATGTTTAACAAATACAACTTTGTCTTTACTGTCATATTCTAAATATGTTTCATATATAAAATGTTTGTTGCTCTCAGAAATTGTATGTAATTTTAAACATATCTTTCTAAATTAGATAAATTCTAATTTACTATGCAAATTCATTCATATTAAAAGTTATGTCTTTCTATACAATGTTGGTATGTCTTTTTCATAATTTTTTTGTTTGGTAATTGCCCAAATTATTGATTAAAAAATTAGTTAATTTAAAAATGTCATTTTTTATGACCGCGCGGATCCAATAGGTAACCCAAATAAGTAGTACAAAAAAATCTATATCTCAGAAATTACTAAAGGTTTTAAAAAATCGTTTCGGCAAATTTTTAACGTAAATTTATGCGATACTAGTGTGCTGTGACCAGTGCTATTATGGTTTAACAGCACTTCGGCATAATTCTGGAATACTACAGATGCCGTTGCTCCTAGCTGAAGATTATAAAATTGAGTATTTCCTCTTTCTTTTTTCTGGATATTTTAATGTGGCTTTACGGCCATGATCAACTTTCTCTTCTTCTTTATACTTTTATATCTGTATTCTAATACACAGATCAGTATTTTTCTGACATTAAAACTACATTTATATTTAGATATATTATATAAACTCTTTCTGAAACGATACTCGAAGTGATACTTTAGATTTTTTATCTTTTGTTAATCTTGTTAGCATTATTAGGCAATGTGGTTTAATCAATTAAAACTATATTAATGAAAAATTTCCACTCTATTTATTATACATTACATATTTCACTATGTTATGGTTTTTTCAGATATTAAGGTATAGCAAAGCAAAACTGAAAAAAAAAGTATCAAAGCATCAAACTGCGTTTTTGTTTGCCTTTTTTAGTAAATAGTTCCAGTGATAAAGCTGTTAACTTAGTTAATATATTAGGACCTTAACATATGAAGGAACCACAGTGTGACGAAACATGTCATGAATAAGTTAAAACAGTATTTTTTCAAATGTAGTTAGAAATCTCATAACTATTTTAATAATAATTATTTGACTATGGTGAGTCAGGTGTACCAGTACAGTAAAAGTTAAATTGTGTAAAAAATTTTCATTACAAAATAAGGTACTAAATTCCCGTGGTTAGTGATTAATATTGAAGGAAATTCATATTTAAATAAGTAAAAATAAATAATATATGAATTCAAATATTTTGAATTTTTATACATTTAATTTTTATCTCTCTTTTATACATCAAAATTTTAGTTTTTTTATAGAATTAAAAGAAGTGTACAGTGAAACTGTATTGCACTGTAAATAAATGCAAAATTTGATTATCCCGTAGAAAATATAAGAAAAAACTTTCATTTTCTCTAAAAAAACATTCATATGATAATCTGAGACCATATTTACTACCTATATACTACATAGTTGCACTAATCACTAGAATTATTTGTACGTTATAAGTCATTTACAAAGAAGGATCAGTTCGTTCAACCTTAAACAGATCTCAATAATTTTAATTGCCGCTTTAGTTTATTGGTATTAGATAGATTGGACATATAGATGCTTATTATTTGTTATAAATTAATTTTATTCAGATCGTTGACATGTAGAGTCCCGATGCAAGACACAGACACAACACGTTAATGCTTTTGCTTGTCTTCAACCTGCATGATACCTTTCCTACAATGTTAAAACTAATATATATAAAAATCTCAACATGGTTTGTCTTGAAGTTGGTGTTTTATCAGTAGGATTTATTTTGTTATTTCTACTATTGTACCTCAATGGATCCAGTATTCGGCTTCTTCCTAGATAATCGGGCTGTGAGTCTTCTATACTTTTAGCAGTGTCTTGTTAGTTTTTTGTAATAATATTTTATATTATTTTAAATCTTCTTTTTTGATGTTTTGACCTTTTTTAAGGTAACTTTAAGATAGGCAAGATGCATCAGTCCCAGAATTCAATTTTTTATTTTTTTACTTTCTATTTGATTAAAAAATAAGACACAACGCAATTTTAGCATGCCACCCCTTCCACCTTACACCAAAAACGTCGTTTTCTTGTTTTAATTTTTTTTTAGCTAAAATCAGCTTAAACATTTTAAAAAATTCACACGCATAGTTGAGGCTTTTATAAAAAGAAATTTATAGACCCGTAGGCTGACTGTACATCCAATTGCTGTAAAAATCCAGCACAACACCCAAAAACACTTAAAACCGAGTTTTTCGCATGTTTCAAAAAATCTCTAGCTTCTCTCAATATGGAAAATACGAGGTATTTCATCAAATTTTCGAAAACATGCTCATGAATGATGTAAAAAGGTAAGAACACTTGGATCAATCCAGTGATAACCCCCGAATAACCGTTGAAAACCCGTTTTTTTTTTTCGAATAAACGATGGTTGCATTTTCTACTTTGAAAATACTCTTTTTAATTTATTTTTGAGTATAAATTAGATATGCATCAATTCAGGTTGTATCCATCTACAAAGTATAGTTAATTCTGCGAACACGCGAAAAAAACCTTAAAAATATTGAAAAAACATGTGTTTTTGGGGGTCTAAAGGTGTTTCGCCCAATTTTTGAATGGCCTAAAGGACTTACTAACTTAGAGTTACTTCAGATTATCTATATGCTATAAAAACCTTGATTTATTCTATATTGACGTCTATACAGGATGTTTCAAAAAGGTATGCTAATGATGTCACAAAATTCATTTGATTTGAACGTACTCAAAAGTTTGGGGGATTTAGGGCTGCACCCCCCCTTAAAATTTTGCTGTGAGCTTAGATTTTCTTGTTTCTTTTGTATGAAAAATGCTTTCAGAACATGAAAGTAACATGTCTATTTTTATTACAAAATGTCAAGTAGGTAGTTTAGGAGATAATGCAAAAAAACAATTTTTATTTTGTAACTTCAAAGGGCTGTAACTTTTTTGTGTACACTTTTGTACACAAAAAGAGTAAACAAGATGTACACTTGTAAACAAGATGAGTTAGATTCAATCAATTTATTTTTGTCCCCCACGTATGCGTGATTTAATTTATGACATACCTTTTTGAAACACCCTGTATATGATGAAAATCCCGAAAAATCACTAAAATACAGTTTTTCGGGTTTTTGAAGGTGGCGCACCTTACCGGAAAAATCTGGAAAGAATCAGATGATTTTTTGATAAAATACACAAATATTATTATACGCTTCATTTGGAAAACAATGCATGTTTAGATTATGTACTCAACTTACGAGCCTGTAAAAAATAAGAAAGTTTTTTAGAAGCCTCAACTATGCGTGTGAATTTTTGAAATTTTTAAATTGATTACAACCCACCGAAAAAAAAAACGAAGAATTTATGTTTTTACTGGTAGGGGGTATGGACCCGTATGTTGCGTATACATCCTACAGTTAACAAAAATCCTGCAAAAACATTTGAAACAGGGTTTTTCGCATGTTTCAATAATTCCCCAACAACCCTTGCAAACCTAGTCTTTCACATAAACCATGGTTGTATCTGTTTCTTTGGTTCCTGAAAATATAGTTTTTCATATATTTTTTTTTAAATATAAATTGGAGACGCAATTTATTCAGGTTGTATTTTGAATGTCCTAAAGGACTCAGGTACTTTAAATTATCTATAATCTATCAAAAAAACTTTGATTTGATCTATTTGGAAGTCTATAAATGGGGAAAAGGTATATTTCAAATTTACTTTCATAGATAACTTGCTTTCTTTTAAAAAATATTCATGAAAAATGTTGGTAAACCTACTAGGAGTAGAAATCTTATCAACCTATGTTTCTTCTTGTACGCTCTTCGCTATTCGATAAAAATAGCAACCTTTGGTCTACTTTGGTACTTCAATTCGATATTTTAGTATCCTTCACGTTTCAGGTTATTCCTTCGTTGCATGTTTTACTTAAAAATGATTTTTGTACTATTTTGTTGAATATTTCAAGTTTATGAATGGAGATACATTTAAAGATGGATCGAGTGTATTAATTTCCTTATCTGTGCTAATCATTCAAACATCAAGACATGCATCTGGTATAAATTATGTAAAATTCATGTTATATTTGCAATATTTGCAATTTTTATGGTTTTTTTAACTTTATTTATATCGATATTTTTAAATATTTTCTGTTTGTTATAATTAAATTGTTCCTATATTGGTACAAACAAAATTTTCCTCCTAATAATTATTTTTCTAATTTCTGTTTGTTAGCGACACTTAACAGTTCGTTTCCGTTTATTTGTCATGTATACACACTGGATACGGTACAAAAATGCACCGCGTTGATAGCCGTCGAACGTATTCCCGGAAAAAATTTATTAACTGGCGAAAAAATAAACAGAAAATCGAGAGAATCACTAAAATATAGACATATGACACCTGTCCTCGTCTCCCAGCCTCACAGAATCCTCACGGGCGTCGACTTTTCAAAGGGAAAGGGTCAAGATCAACAATTTGGAGTATAAATTTTATATTCTATTAGAGATATTCGTATTTTTTAACATATAAAATCTAAAAAAACCATACACTCAGATATTTAGCAGAATTTACTACAAAACAAAGGTTGTTCATCAGACCATTATTATACAAATGTTAATTAAAGCACAAAGATAAAATTAAATTGTATACGAGGATATATAAATTACATCTCTTATAATTATTTTTCCTTAATTACATGTGGTCTTTTTTCAGGATATCAAAAGTTTTTACATTTTGCGCCCATATTTTGCGCCTATAACTTAGATATTGCTTGAGTTTTACATAATATTTGGATATGTAAAAATTGAAAATGTAGTGTTAAAAATAGCAATAATTAAAAAAAAGGTTTTAAAATATTGAGTTTTTCCTTTAAATTTTTTCGACCGTTTAAACATAACATACAGCTTTTATATTCCGTTTAGAAAAACTTTATAATAAGAATGAAATGTTTGCTAAACAGCACTTTTAATATTCGAAAAGAAAAGCTTTTACGTATAAATAGAAGCTGAAGTTTTCATTCAAACACACATTGAAACATTAAAATCTGTCAACTAGAAGAGCCTAGAAATTTTTTATAATTATTTTTCTCTTTTCTCTTATAATTATTTTTCCTTAATTACATGTGGTCTTTTTTCAGGATATCAAAAGTTTTTACATTTTGCGCCCATATTTTGCGCCTATAACTTAGATATTGCTTGAGTTTTACATAATATTTGGATATGTAAAAATTGAAAATGTAGTGTTAAAAATAGCAATAATTGAAAAAAAGGTTTTAAAATATTGAGTTTTTCCTTTAAATTTTTTCGACCGTTTAAACATAACATACAGCGTTTATATTCCGTTTAGAAAAACTTTATAATAAGAATGAAATGTTTAAACAGCACTTTTGATATTCAAAAAGAAAAGCTTTTACGTATAAATAGAAGCTGAAGATTTGATTCAAACACACATTGAAACATTAAAATCTGTCAACTAGAAGAGCCTAGAAATTTTTTAAAGTTTTTTTTTTTTTATTTAGAATTTCCGCATCAACCATTAAAGGTTATTAGCGGGTTTTACAGATTTTACAGTTGTTATTACAAATACAAATTTACTAATTACAAATTGCGTATTAAATTACACATAATAAATTACAAACTACAAAGAGATACATATAATATAACTTAAATTTTGTGTAGTAAACGTATGTCCTTAAGGAATTTGATTGTATTAGATACATTACTGTTTAAAATATCTTTAAGTTTCTTTGCTTCTTCTGGTAAGTTGTTGATGGCTCTTTCGTAGGAATAAAGAGGACATTCAATCAATACATGTTGAACAGTTATTGGACATTC